CATTTGTTTGGGAAAAAAATATAGGTACTGGTTAGTATGTTTTCTTTTTCGAATATATATGCAAAAATTAATATGTCGCACAAGACCTGACTGATGATCCACTTATTTTTCTGTCACACAGGAGTGACCCAGCAAATTCTTCCGAGCTGGTGATTACTGCTCCGGACTAGATAGATTGGTATTGTACCACCCCGCCATAGAGGGTCTTGCGCCTGTTATTTCTTGATTTTTTAGCCATTACCAGATAGATTGTCCGATTCAATTAATCTGATTAGCAGACATTTCTTGATAATTATTTTGCGCAAATTCTAACTCTCGTGCTAATCTGTCCAATGTTAATTGAAGCCCAATTATATAAACTTCTTGCCAATCTTCAGCTCTAACTCCATTTTGGAATACCGTTTTAATATTCTTTTTTACATCATCTATAATATCCTCTAAACCCACTATACCAGTTGTCATTTTAGTGATTTATTCTATAACTGAATATTTATCATGCCAGAAAAAAAATCTAATAATTATGTAAATACTGTGATTTGCCTCCTCCGACTTGCATATATGCACCATATCACTAGTCTAGCCATGGCAGTGACTTAGACTCGATGATTTCGGTTGCAAAGTAGACAAGTGAGGCGTACATTCCCTTTGATATGCCCCAAACTATTGTGGATTTGATCTACTGTCCACTGGGATATATCTCCTGGCCGATCCCATTCAAATTTCATTTCTATGAGACATAATGCGCATTTGTCTTCTTGAATACGTTTTAATGTGAGGATATAGTCAATTGTTAGATCGAATTCACGGCCTTTTTCCTTGTCCTGACCCATATATCTGACAAGTTTTTCCTGAATAGATGGTCTCAATTCATGCTCTAGCCATCTATTCTTTTTTGCCTCCTCAATCTCTTGGGCAATTTCAGGAGGTAATGGAGGTGCCTCAACCCGAATGAGTTGACTTAAATATTCCACACGACCAACTGCTAAATATATTAGGTTATCCCAAGCTAGGTTTTCATCAATGACCCAAACACGCTGTGGAGCTTTGAGAGTCATTCCTTGACTAGTGTGAATTGTCATAGCATATCCAAGCTCCCAATTTATGACTTTTTTGTCTGCTAACACATCTTTTAAGAATTTGTCAGGAAGTGTATTTAAGGGTAAGTGTATTATATCATTTTTCACTAGTTCCTTTTTTTCGGATGAGCTGGGAATCTGGACAAAACAATTTTGTTTGCGTCCATCTCTTGGCCTATAGATTAATGGGATCAGCACATTGGGATATTTTGCCTGATGAAGTTCTAAGCATTTTTGGGAAGCAATTCTTCGGGAAAGTAGGTGTGCTGATAAGATACGATCTGATGGCTTCCATTCACCTTCAAGATATTCCCATTTTTCTGTGACCGGAAGTGCTTCACGGAATAGGTCTGACTGCACTCTATTATTTTGCTGTCGCATTTTTTTCTTAAGCTCTTGTAATCTAGGACATTTAGCCCGATAGTCAGTCAAGACTTCCTCATAGTAATCAGCTTGCTCTTTTAACCAGCTATGAGGCATCTCTCCAAAGAATGGCGGAGGCTGAGCATCGTCTCCACAACAGATTACCTGACACTTCTGTTCTAGCAAATAGTTAATAAACATTCCGAGAATATGCCTAGGTACTGTACATACCTCATCCCAGATAACTACTCGTGGAAATTTCTTTTCTTCCATGCGTTCAGGAGTCCACTCTCCTACACCATTCCACCTAAAGAAGCTATGCCAAGTTTGGGCTTTTACCTTACGATCATTCTGGAAGTCTTTAGCCAATGCATTCGTATGAGTAAAGACTACCATGTTTATATCTTTAAAGATTCGGATTGCGCGTGTTATCTTCCCAGAACCACCGCCTCTATTGAGATATGAAACTCAGGATCTTGTAATTGGATCATGAATTGATGGAGCAGTACTCTCGGTAATATTTTTAATCGATTCCCAATGCCTATTTTTTGGCCAGTATACGACATTAGGATCTGGTCCATGAATCTTCTCACCTTTATCACGCCATTGGCCAAGCTGAATTTCTCGAATCTTTTCCTCTTTTAGTGGCTCAGACTCTTTGGTAACAACTTTACTAGGTTGGGTATTTTTCCAAGGACCTTGACGAAAGTACCATTCTCCAAAGCAAACAGCATATACAAATGGCTTATGCTTGTTACATAATAAATAGCCCGTCATTCTGTTCACGTAGTGAACCTTCACTTCTTTGGCAAATTCTTTGACTGCTTCTTTTGAATAAAAGACTCCTGCTTCACACATTGCACAAGAAGGAATTTTATGCGGACATTGAAACTTACTGGTATCTGCCCCTCCCTTATGATTGAGGGGGCACTTAGCTTGCTTAAAGAAGGCAGATACATTTTCAATCTTATATAAGGCATCTCTTCGTATATATATAGAATCCGTTGCGATTCTTACCACTTCATTAGAGCCAAATCTTCGGAGCATTTCTAGCAAGTTTATATGGGCATATGCCAGCATTGAGGCTCGCAAATGTGTATATTGGGGCTGGTGACCCTCATAATACGTAAGTATATGCCCAAGCAGACATTTATCGCTACCGGCATATGTTCCCTCTTTAATACAATCCTGGATTAAGAAATCGAGCTCGCCTTCGTCTATTACAACTCGATGGGTCAGACGCTTTTCTTCGACCTTATTTCCCTGAGTGAACTTCCCTATGATTGCACAACTAATATCCCGATTTTTAGGCAACCATACCTTTGTCTGCTTGGTAAGAGAAATAATAGCTTCGCCTATAGTTACACTTTCCAGGATATCTGCTTCGAGAAGATATCGTAGAAGTACAATAGGTGTCCAACCTTTTGTCTTTCCACATCCTTTTCCACTTCGACAGGCAAAATGTTTTCCATACCAGACAGGAATTACTGAATGGATGTTAGAAACAAATCTAAAGGATCTTACCTGCGCAAATCCTGTAATATCATCAGGTGGCAATTCTCCCTCCACTGCTACTCGGACAAGATGGTGTGTTGGATGCCCAAACCGCTTAAACCATGGTGAACACTCTTCTTGACCACGCATACTTACTGGATAGCATTCCTTCATATCTACAGTCAACTCTCTTTATAGTCACACATTTGGGACAGTCCATATTTGGTGATTATAAAGAGATGTGACTATATAAAAAATTTCTTATATTTGTATATCATAATTCCGGCCAAAAATTAACATAATTTTAGCCAGAATTATACTTAAAACTTTATTGTATCGTAACTTC